TGATAGTACGGTATTCCTAAACTCAAACTTAATTAGTAAGAGAATTATACCAATAGAAATGTCTTCTTTTCATCTTCGTTTCGTTGTCTTAAGGGACGCCAATGCCAAAACCGTTTCACCATATATTCTTCAAATGATTGATGCGGTTATTTGTAGCTTCAAATGGTCTCGCACGGTCCATCATGACATAGCCATCACTCGTCCTTCACCACCGGATTTGGCTCTTCGGTGCCAAGCCCCTTGCTTGCCCTTCACCGCCGCATAGTCCATCGCGACCGAGCATCGTTTGCCCTTCACCGTCTTGCCATAACAGCCACTCCGTGTCCCACATCTTCAATGTCTTCACTTTGTCATTCTTAGTGTCGTTAGGTGTAATGATATCACTTGAGCATCAACACCTTTGAAATCCTTGGGACCTATTTCTTTCATTCAACTCAATAAAATTATTAGTCCCAATGATCTGGTTGTCAACATCCACATATTGACCAATCGATCACATGTATAAAAGGATATAAATAAATGATGAGTATTAATCAACACCACAAGTGTCATATACTCAATCATATGCTCAAATGTAGAGATCCCAATAAAATGAAAGTGAATAACTTGGATCAATTACATGCATAACTAAAGTAAAGGATTTGCTCCCCCTAGATATATGCATATAAAATGTTTATGTGAATCAAGAGTATGCATAAAAAGAATGAAACATTAGGAGCTTATCCTATACAAGAATAGAAGGCATTTATCAAATATTGGCATTAAAATAAATGTATACCTTCATCATCTTTATGTTCTCAATGTAAAGAAACTAAATAAGAGAAAAGACTCAAACAAAACATTAGTCTCACATGTATATTGTTATTCACATGGAAATATTATATATCAACATATCAATATGTACATGGAGAGAAGGAGCGATACATGTAGCTTGATCTCCATGCATTTCATCCTTGTGATTTAGGTCCACCATCGATGAATGTTTCTATCTCAACTCATAACAAGTCCAGGAATCACCTCTCACACACTCCACTTTCATATCCACATGACACTAGGCAAAGAAATGCTTATAAAAAATACATTAGTCTCACATAATTGGATTTGTCATTAATCACCAAAACCAAATTAATGGCACTTGAATTTTCAAGGACGAAAGGGCTCGCCGACGACCTACATGCTCAAACGAAAAGAAATCCAACATGATGACATGAGACCTAATGGGTAGAACCCGACTAAACTGATGGATGTACAAGGAGAGACCCCTCTTCCTCTGCTTGACAATGGAGAGCCCACCAGAGCCAAAGAGGAGGACAATTGAGAAGCTGGAGAAGTTTAGTTTCACTCTTTCACCCAAGAGTTCACGAGAGCTGTCAGGGCACCAGTCGTATTACAATATATAGTATGGCTAGGCGTAATGTATTTGTGGTCGACAGTACTATATAACCATACCGATTCATGTCAACAAACACAAGACCACAACTACACTGGCAAAGAAAAAAAAGGGAATAATGATTAAAAAAATGCTCTCCTCCATTGTTTCATCATATTCCTCTATATTGGTGATTGTTTTAACTCTGTTTTATCTTAGTCCCTGTCTTGCTAAAAAACCATACTAATTACTTATGTACCTCACTAGGATTGAACAATACTTAGCCTGGTGACTATGAGTACTATGTGCATGGCTAGCAAAAAGTATACAAGATTAAGGATCCTAGTTCCTTTTTGTCTAGCGAGTCCTCCACCGCTGGATGAAGCACAACACAGGCAGGCAACACGTGGCCACCGTTGCTGCTGTGCAAGCTCCGGTAGGTGGTGATGTTGTTGTGTCGAACCTTGGATCCTCATTGCCTCTGTGAAACAACGGGGAGATGTATCTTTGCATATTTCTACCCAGCAAATTATTGATATGCCATACTTTTCCTCTTCAATACTCATACTAGTGGTGTATACTACCCATACTATGAGTATTAATTAGTTTTAGTGACCCTCCATCCAAAAGTCTAAGGCTTATTTGTTTTTGTCCCCAAGACCAAAGAGAAATGAACTCATCTTAGGATGAGGTCATCACTATTTCGGATAAGACCATGTCTACCTTTTGTATCCATCAACCAAATGTTATATATACACTTTACTGCACCATGAGTTTTGTATCTTCTCGTTTGTAGAAATACTTGCATAGGTAAAGAAAAGGGGAGCATGCATACGAAGTACTTGAATGATCAAAGAAGTTGATTGGGAAAAAACCAAGACCTTCACCAAGTCTACTCCTGTATCACCACATCACTTTTGGTCTATAAAAGATAAGAGATCAAGTTCTGCACGTTTTGGATTCTGATTCGGCTCTCCTAACAACATCAATTTCAAATGGACCTAGTCACTGATCCAAAACAAATCTTGGGGCCCATGAGTACTTGTTGGAATGCTTACGGAGTCTACTTTAAGATGGTTTTAGTTCCGCATCAAAGTTTCTCCCAAGATGTTAGGAATCGGCAAAATAATCCACAAACCTCATCCATCCCGAGTTTGATTTGGGCCTTGGGCCTTATAATTATATTGTGAGCAAATCCCATGGGGTGGATACACTAGGACTAACCCTAGGATATCCCTAATCATATTTAATCAGTAGACATCATAGTTTAGATTTAGGATTGCTTAGATTATTTTTACCATTGCAGTTTCGTTGTTCATCGGTTTGTGGAACCTCAACTTTGCATAATTGATTAATAATTCATATGGAATTGAGTTGTTGTTTTTCTTATTCTGGCTTGTATTCTTTAGTTCGCATGCAAGGATTAGCCTTCTCGGTGAGATCAATTGGGTTTTGGCATGGTTGATAACCAAATGAGACGTGCTGCTGCGATTGTAGGGTTTGGATCATGTTGATCAGAAGTCGGATCATGTGTGTCAAGTTTACGCCAAATCAATAGTTATCCTCACCTAACGGGATATCAGGAATCTCATTGCAATCATCATGTTTGTAACAAAGACTAAAGGTCTGTTTGGATCAAGCCCTGAGATTCATGCCCGAGCCAGGCATCATTCCCAAGCGTCCGATTTCATTTGCCAATGGTTGGATGGACCTGCATGAGCGAGGGCTCTAAAGCCAGAGTATCATTCAAACACACCCTAATAAACTGCAAATACATACAATCAATCAATGAGTATTAAGATGGTGTCTCGGAGTTTCAGTCAACAATTTAGTATTGCAAAACAAAATGACAACTGTTTATATAAAACTTGATTGTATAGAGACTACAAATATTACCATCTTGAAGAAAAAAAAATCTTAACACTTTTCAATGGAGAGAGTAGTATACAGTAGTACAGTGTACCATAAAGAAACTCTTTTGCAATACCACAAGTTGGGCCGTTTAACATTTTCCTAATTCATATATTAATGTCTAAAGTGACTTTTATATATATATATATATATATATATATATATATATATATACACACATACACTCACTCTGTGCGAGGAATATTGGGCCACAGTCTCTGATCCCATTATCATCAAAATTATTCAAATGTTGTCAGCATGCGCTGTGAGCGGGTGCTACATTTCGCAGGAATTGACGACTTTGCTCTGTTTTTCTCGGTCTGTAATGTAGCCTGCCCCAGAGCAGAACGGTACAGAGATGTGGACAGTACGATGTAACTTTATGAGAAAGTTCATTAGACGAGACCAAAGCCAGCTTTATCTACCTTCATCCATTCGTTAATTAAACCGGTGGCATGCATACTTTTCATGGCTCGAGTGTTGACTGGACGAACTAGCTGGCTCTGCCATACTAAAGTCTGGACTCTCGAGTCCATCAATTTTACAGGCGAGATTACCAATCTGCCAGGGCGCGGGCAGAATGCAGTTATCTGTATATACAGAGATCATAAACCAAAAGTTGTCCCTTGGGTCAAAATTCGACAAGAATTTCCGACCGGAAGGAGTAATTAACTGACGTATAGAGATCATATATTGACACCGTTGACTTTTTAGCACATATTTGACTGTTCGTCTTATTAAAAAACTTTTGTAAAATATGTAAAATTATATGCCTACATAAAAATATATTTAGCAATGAATCAAATGATAGAAAAAGAATTAATAATTACTTAAATTTTTTAAATAAAACGAACGGTCAAACATGTGCTAAAGAGTCAACGGTGTCAAACATTTCGAAACGGAGGGAGTATATACCAAGTTGTCAAATTAAAGCACTTGTTCAACAGGGAACAATCTGCTAGTACTGTGGTGATGAAGACCACAGCTGCAATAATATAATTTCTCACTACTATATCCTAGGGCCGAGTTTAGTTCCAAAATTTTTTTTCAAACTTTCAACTTTTCCATCATATCAAAACTTTTATACACACAAACTTTCAACTTTTTTCTCACATCGTTCTAATTTCAACTAAACTTATAATTTTGGTGTGAAATAAACACATGCTAGTAGTACTAGTGAAGGCTGGATCACAGGTAGGACAGAGCTAAGACAGTGGTAGCAGTTAGTTACGTTGCTCTTTGGTTGGACGCGCCAACTTAAGGTATGAAAACGCTGACTCGTGATGAGCAAAGCGACGAACACAGATTATTCGGTACTCCTACGTCGAAATATAAGCCCAACCCAGCCGTCACTGTCTCTGAATCTGAACCTGATGGTAACTGCCGACGCGAACGCCATGTTTTACGTTTTCCCGCGACTTTGTTGGCGCGTACGCACCCTTTGGATCGACCTGTGCGGTTGCGAAAGCACGTGTGAGAGTGTATCGTATGTATGCATATATCGGTCGATCGATAGATCAGTGGATGGACTAGCTGCTAGTAAGCTAGCTACAGAAAGCGAAGTCGGAAACTACTAGTACCGGTTTCAGACGAGTAGATCAATGAGCAGATGTGTGAAAACGCGGTCTTTGTTTCTGAATCTCTTGGAGCCATATGTTATCGTCGTCTCTGATAAGGTAACTAGAAGCAGAGAAAAACTTGGAACACGTGGAGCGACCACAGCTGCTGCTGCTAGCTGCACCACCTTTCTCCGTGAGATAGAGAGTCAGAAAGAGAGCTTATAAAAGGGAAGCTGCATGAGCTGAGGCTGGCAGCTAGATAGTTTATCAGAACGGAGAGAGATTATTATATGTCTACCGGAGTACTCGCTTGTGAACCTTGTTTATTAGCTAGCTGCCCGGTTAAATTATTTGTGCTATCAGAGAGAGATGGGTGACGATGTGCTGGGCAGAGGGAGCCGACGAGATCAGGAGATCGTCCTCGTCGACATCGTCGACGATGACGATCACGACGACGTGCCGGCGGTGCGGCGGCAGGACTCCCTGTACGTCGACGCGACGAGAGCCGGCGGAGCAAACCACCGTGGAGGCCAGGTTTGTTTATTAATTTGGCCAAACTGCTGTCCAATTCATTGATCATGTACTACCATTGTTTGGCCAAACTGCTGTGCAAATGCTTATGATCGATCGATCGATCGGTCCCATGCATTCCATTATATATGTTGTTAAAGACTTGGTGTTTTTTTTCTTAAGATGAAGATGAAGATAAAAATTAAGTGTTTTACGCAAAACGAGGTGGTATTAACGTATGATTAATTGAGTTTTAATTATTACAAACTTGAAAAGAATAGATTAATCTGACATTTTAGAGCAAATTTTATATAGAAAGTTATCACAGGAAATGCGCCGTTTAGCAGTTTGAAAAGCGTGCCACAAATATCTAAAAATTGTATCCACGTTTTTTTATTGCTGTTGTGTATTCATCTAATAATTCTGTGCTGAACATTGAAAGGTTGTTAATTTGGATCCATGGATTTTATTGAAGTTTTTAGAATTAAAAAAAATTAAAACTAGTTTTATTTGGACTCCTGGATAGTGACAGAGATTTCATGTTTTGTTATCTGTATGTATATATGTCAGAAAGCCAGAAACTCATTTCAACAAAAACGAGTGGCACCAACTTTTTAAGGAATAAAAAGCAAATTTCAGGATTTTTCTACCCACTAGTTATTTAGTTGCACCACTCAAACATGTTCGCTATCAGTTCGACCATAATATTCAGTCTGCCAAATTGATCAGCATTAACTAACCTGAAAACGAAAAGTTTGGCCAAGTTCTCATATGCACCTTTATTTTTTTTCTGAAAATTAATCCCAGCTAGATCAACCTGGTACATATATATATATATATATATATATATATATATATATATATATATATATATATATATATATATATATATATATATATATATATATATATATATATATATAGTTTAACATGCATGCATGGATTAACCGTTCGATCGAGCTAATTAATTAATTATTATATGTTGTACTGTAATAATGCAGGAGGAGAGCTGGGCGAGGACGTTGAAGCTAGCGTTCCAGTGCGTGGGAATACTGTACGGGGACATCGGGACATCGCCGCTGTTCGTGTACTCGAGCACGTTCAAGGACGGCGTCCGCCACCCGGATGACCTGCTCGGCGCCCTCTCCCTCATCATCTACAGCTTCGCCCTCTTCACCATCGTCAAGTACGTCTTCATCGCCCTCCGCGCCAACGACGACGGCGACGGTAACTTCTTTCTTTCTACTACTACCTTTCTACTAGTCAGCCCTCAGCAGCGACTCTGAATTACTACGACATACCATCTCCATCGGTGTAGTACAGTATGCGTATCGTTAAAATAAAAAAAAACTACGTTTTGAAGTTGTTATGTTAAAGTTGCAATTTTATTCATTGAATGCTATTTTTATGTTATATATGTGTACTTAAGTTTGGCTTGTATAAAAAAGAAAGAGAGAAAATAGACAAGTTACAAATACAAATACCCCATGTGAAAAAAAGAATTTGTTAAGACGGTAATATCTCTAGTAGGAACCTAGAAAGTTCTATCTTGTAAGACTAGGAACCTAGAAAAAGAATGCAGGCCAAGAAAAAAATATCTCTTTTTCGATCACTTTTTAGAAGTTCTATCCATATATGTTTCACTTTCAAAATGTCTTGATGGTGAAATGGTAGAAACGCAAGACTCAAAATTTTGTGCTAAAGAGCGTGAAGGTTCATATGATCCTTGCATCCATGAAAGTGGAAAAAATATAACAACTCAATAAGATAAATAACTGTAAGACTCTCTCCGGACTTAGAAAAATGCATGTCTTACTAAGATGGAAAACTAATTTGTGTCTAGCTATAGCTGCCCCTTGCAAAAAATAAAATGTGTCTAGGTACCTATGTATAAATATGTAAGTATTTTTCTAATTTAAAAGTTTACATATTTTTAACATAATTGATTTTTTTTTGTGATCTCCATCACTACATAACTTGTATCACTGTTTACATATTCTCTTGCTATGTTGGTACCCAAGGTAGTACTAGTTCTAAGCTAGTTAATATATGCATGTTGCGTCCAAGCAAAGTGTGTCATTAGCTTGTATGCAACCATTATAGCTATTAATTTGCTATGTCCGGTTAGCTTAAATGCCATTGCCGTGTCGTCCATGATTGTTTTTTCCGATTCCATGTCTCCCCTCTAATTTTCAGCTAGTTAAATTAAATGCATTAATTGGACGCCACTGCCGTATCCTGCATGGTTTTTTTTCTCCTGATCCAACTTGGCATGATCAGTGACCTACTCCAACCTGGTAGTCTACTAAAAGTCACTCTAACCTGGTAGTGTACTAAAACATGTGGGATAAAGCTAAAAGTTAAAAGGATATTTTTTTAGAGACGGAGAGAATATATAGTCAACACTTAAATTTAGAGTATACATTAAGTTTGGCAAACTTAATTGATGGATTTGATCATTCTCTACATTTTACAATTAATATTCATACTTCTCAAGCCCTGTTATTTCATCTAAAATACAAGAGATTTTGCCCTTATAATAGGAGGGGGTGGTAGCTAGCTAGCAGAACATTACTTATATAGCATGTTGAAAAATGTTATTAATTACTAGCTGTTATTAATATTAACTCCCAAAATAAGTTTGAATATGTGTCATCTGCAGGTGGAACGTTTGCACTGTACACGCTGATTTCTCGGCATGCGAAGGTGAGCTTGATCCCGAACCAGCAGGCGGAAGACGAGCTCATTTCCAAGTACAACACCGGGAAGCCGCAGGCAACGCTGAGGAGAGCTCGGTGGATGAAGGAGCTTCTCGAGACCAACAGAGCCGTCAAGATTTGGCTCTTCCTTCTCACCATCCTAGCCACCGCCATGGTCATCAGCGATGCCGTCCTTACACCGGCCATTTCAGGTGACAGCTAGCTTAACTAATTAATTAGATAGTGTATTATATATATATATATATATATATATATATATATATATATATATATATATATATATATATATATATATATATATATATATATATATATATATATATATATATATATATATATATATCTGAAATGGTTAATTTCATCTCTGAACTTTGATCTAAATATTATTGTGAATTTACTTTGTGAAAATGTTTTCAGTTCTGTCTGCGGTTGGTGGGCTGAAAGAGAAAGCACCGAACCTGACAACAGGTACAAAGGCAAACACAAATTACACTAGCGTTGCCTAGTTGATTTACAGGTCTTCGCTTCATTAAATTCTTTGAGTTATTGGTCGTGACTATGGGTTTACACGCCAATTCCTTGTTGTCTCGTAGAAAAAAATTATACGGCCATAAATTAGCCAACTTAAACGTATATGAGAAGTTACGTTTCGTGTAGTCGTGTAGTTGTGCCTAGTTGATTACGAAGGTTTAATTTCTGATACCCACAATTAAATGTCGGTATATTGTTGATATAGACATTATAAGTTTACTTCTATTTTGAAAGAAAATTAAATATACATCTCTAAGTACGCAGTAGAAAATGCGTACTATAACATTTTACTTTGATTTTCTGTAGTAGATTAAAATTTGGAAAAGAACGTGAACATCATATATTCATGTCAAAAAATTTCAAGAATGTAGTCTTTTTCACACGCTCCTATTATTGATGTTGAGGTGTCGACTTCTTGGACTTCTTCACTTTGAAAAAACTGTCATTGTTAGCATTTAATAGGACGGCCAATGTATGTGGCCGCTGTGTTTCTCATATCTAAATCGTTGGCTTGATTTAACGTTCCGAGTATTATTGTTGATGTCAACCAATCAAATTCTTCACAAGATTCATGGCCAGGTTTAACTGATCACCACCTACTTTATACATATGTGTATGGACGTACACACCTAATAGAGTAGAACTGTACTAGTATTAGTATGGTACACGAGACTGGTTCTTACACCACATATGCATTTCTTTGTCAATTTTTTGGTGGCGGCGAAGCTGTACAAGTGATGACTTTTCTGAACAGGTCATCACCTTCAAGGTCTCTTCCTCTTTTTCTTTCTCTTGGAAAAATGGTCACCTTCAAAGCCTCCCCTAAATAACACACTAGTTGAGGTTTACTTAGGTAGAAAGCATGACATCACCTTAAGTACTATTTGTATAATTATTATAGTGAAATGCAATTCATTTGATAATGACCAATTATATATGAGATCTCTCTGACTGTTCCAACAGATGAAATCGTGTGGATCACAGTGGCGACTTTGGTAGTCCTGTTTGCAATCCAACGGTTCGGCACAGATAAAATTGGCTACCTGTTTGCGCCGATCATACTCCTGTGGTTGCTCCTCATTGGGTGTGTTGGGATCTACAACACCATTAAGTTTGACACCGGCGTGTTGAGGGCGTTCAACCTGAAATACATTATCGACTACTTCCGAAGGAACAAGAAGGATGGATGGATCTCTCTTAGTGGCATACTCCTCTGCTTCACAGGTAAAATATGAGAGTTACCAATTGCATTACCTAAAAATAATTAACATGGTAAAATATGAAAAAGGAAATATTTGATAAATTTGAGACCTCCTGCAACAGAAAATTAAATTTCAACAAGATGTTTCTGTTCGCTGAAAAGAAACCTGTTTTGCCAATATGACAGGTACAGAAGCTCTGTTTTCAGATCTAGGATATTTCAGCATTAGATCAATACAGGTATGTAAGTTCGGATAAATTGTATAAACTATTTAATGGATTAATCAAACTGCAACTAATTTGTATCTTTGTCCTCCAGCTAAGCTTCAGCTTTGGTCTAGTCCCTTCAGTGTTGCTTGCTTACATTGGGCAAGCAGCATACTTGAGAGAACATCCAGAGCATATAGCCAACACTTTCTACAGATCAACTCCAAGTATGTGTAGAATCATCATCATACTTCAATAGTGCATACATCTGACTTCTTGAACAGAGGTTAATTAATTATTTTCCACATGTGAACAATTCCAGACGTGATGTTCTGGCCCACGTTCATCCTGGCAGTTGCTGCATCCATTATTGGAAGCCAAGCCATGATATCCTGCGCATTTGCAACCATTTCGCATTTGCAGACACTCAACTGCTTCCCCAGAGTTAAGATACTCCACACATCAAGGCAATATTCAGGACAACTGTACATTCCAGAAGTGAACTTCTTGCTTTGTGTGGGTGCTTGCCTTGTAACAATTGGTTTCAAGACAACCGTGATTATTGGAGAAGCTCACGGTAAGGATTTTTTATCTCATGTCTTAATCCTAGTTAAATTCAATGATCCAATATCAAATATTACACAATTCACACATGTGAATATGTCAATGTATGTGACTAACATTATGTTGATTCTTTCATGTAGCAATATGTGTGGTCTTTGTGATGATCATCACAACCCTCCTATTGACAATAGTGATGCTCCTAGTATGGAAGGTCAGCATCTGGTACGTTGCACTATTCTTCATCGTCTTCATGTCATCGGAGTCGATCTACTTATCGGCGGTCCTATACCAATTTGTGCATGGCGAGTATGTACCTGTGGCCATGTCAGTTTTCCTGATGATTGTGATGACTGTCTGGCACTATGTTCATGTCAAGAGATATGAATTTGAGCTTGAGCACACTGTGCCCCGTGACAAGGTGAAGGAGCTCTTGGAGCGCCGTGACATACAGAGGGTTCCCGGGGTAGGGCTCTTCTACACCGATCTTGTGCAAGGCATACCCCCGGTGTTCCCTCACCTCATTGAGAAGATCCCTTCCATCCACTCTGTGCTCATCTTTGTCTCTATCAAGCACTTGCCGATTCCGTCGGTCGATAGGTCCGAGCGATTCATCTTTCGACATGTCGACAAAGAAGAGTACAAGGTGTTCCAATGCGTGGCGCGGTACGGTTATCGAGACCCCATGGAGGAGGCCAAGGACTTTGTTGATGCACTTACTGAGAACCTCCAGTACTACATAAGGGATGTTAACTTCTACACTACAGGCGGTGATCAACATATATTCAGGAGTACCAGCTATGCCAGTTCCATTGCTGAAAGTTTTGCCAGCTATGAGAAACACTCTGGGCATGCAGTCTATGCAGAGGAGATGCTTACACCAGCCGAATCCTTCTCTGAGCATACAAAGCAACTTAGTGGCAGAAGCAAGCATTTTAAACAATTTCAGGTAACAATTAATATTCATTACAAACTTCTTTTTTTTTAATTAGGAATCTCGACATCCTATCTATGACAACAAAAAAATAATTATAACAATGTTGGAACAAGTTGGTTTGATTTACTTTTCAAGATCATACGATTTTTTGGAAATGTTAGTTGTAGTAACATTAGTTTTAAATTGGGTACCAGGTAGAGAATATGAACATGCAAAAGATGGAGAAGGTACAACAGGAGCAGCAGGCTATCCTCAGAGAGATGGAGAATGGTGTTGTGTACATACTTGGAGAGAGTGACATAGTGGCAAGCCCTCACTCCTCGCTTCTTAACAAGATCATTGTCAATTACATCTATTCTTTCCTTAGAAAAAACTGTAGAAATGGCGAGAAGATGTTGTCTATTCCTCGCAGCCAAGTACTAAAGGTTGGAATCGCATATGAGATATAAGCATATGGGTAATTTTATCATTCTTGAGAAAGTATTTAGAGTTACCATATTTTTCAGTGTAAAATTTAGTACTCCAGGTACTAGGTACCTCGAGGTACCAATTTTAATGTAAATTTGGTACCTCTAGGTACTTTCTGGAGAACTGTAAAATTTCTGTAAGCACATGTATAAGACACAGATGGTAGTTGATATTTCTCACATAATAATTTTCTAATGGATGTTTTAATGTTCATGTGAATAGAGGAGAATGATTGATTGTAGTTTTATTAAACGCCATAAACTCACGAATTCATGTGTTTAATTATATTCTAGAACAAGCAGAAGGTATTTGTGTCATTTATATGAAGAAATAAAACAAGGGTTAGATAGAAAGACCATGAGGGGAGGAAAATGTGGTGGTGGCGCCAGGGAGGGAGAGGGGTAGGCCGTGGCAATCATCCGGGGATTGTGTACATGTGCTGGCTTGGGATGGGTTGACAACGGCACTTGTGCTGGCTTGGGTACATGAGTGGAAGCAGCACCTGCTAGAAAGTACCAAAGATTTGGCACCGTTGTGTGTGGTAGGGTGGCAACAATAGCACTAGTACGTACTTAGGAGCATGCAATGTTATAAATGGGAGAGGGGAAAGGTCGCAGTGGTAGCAAGGGTTAAGATATGGGAAGATAGGTTATACCAAGGAGATGAGTAGTACGAAGTAGCAATTAGTAAGGAAACACTACTAGGGTCCTACCCTTTGGCCAATTGGCAATGTAGTTACATGGTAGGCCACAATGCCACATACATTCCTGAGGGTTAACGGTCGGCCATTCCCTGTAGGCTATCCGTAGTAATGGATTCATGCAATCACCGATGGTACCGTTGGATTTGTACATTGCCTAAGGTTAATTGCTGATGACGGTGATCTGTAGTGTATTACTTGGAGAATAGCCTACAACTAACGGTCGACCAATGGACTCTCCGACGGTTTTCTTGCCCTATCGGTACCATCAAGAGAAGGAATCTAAATCATTAGATTATAGGAATAAAACGGGTCAGATTACTTGGCACATTTTGATGAAAATAATATTTGAAGGGTGTTTTTCCATTTCTTGTAGTAACAATTTCTTTATACCTATAATAATTGGAGGGTATCCTAAAGTCTCCACTTTTATGTCAGAAAGCTAGAAATTCCCACATTAAACAAAAAAGCTTGACATTGTCATCTTAATCCAAAATAGGATTAATGTACAAAGTGATTAATAATTGATATGAATATATTTGCTCATTACTTTATACTAACATATATTTCTCGAAAGGATATTATTAAATATATAATATGCTTCACGACAGATCTACTAATGTCATTTTCTTTCGTACAGATAGCGCAAGTCACTAACTTCCTTTTGTATCCTGGTTACTATAGTTGCATGTTTCATTTCACAGGTTTTGGGTTCAACTCCTCCCGATCCCTTTTCCCCCTCATTTTTCTAATATAGATTGCCCTCTGGTATAAAAAAAATGTCTTTAACACTTTCATTTTTTTCTATAAATTGCCATCTAATGTAAAAAAATGCCTTTAACACTTTTAGCTTTTTTTCCCTATAGAATACCCTCGGATGTGGAAAAAAAATGCTTTTAACACTTCCAACAAAAATTTCTATAGATTGCCCTCTAATGTGAAAAGAAAATTCCTTTTAACTCTTCCAATTATTTTTCTCTACAGATTGCCCTCGAATGTGAAAAAATGCTTTTAACACTTCCATTTTTTTCCTATAGATTGGCCTCTAATGTGAACAAATATGGTTAACATTTCCTAATTTTTTTAACTAATAGTATTGTATATGTTATCGGTACTATGAATAATATTTAAATTTACTCTTTTTACCACTGCGTATGTTTCCCCAGTAAATGAATCAATCACCTATAATGAAGATGCCCTTGCTGGAAGTTCTTGATGGTATTTGGATGCATTAGAGAGATGTATTGATGAAATTTTCCCTTACCATGGAGCCATATCAACCACGTTTCCATCATCCTTAATCGTCCTATGTCCAAGGGAGGTCAACTCCTCCATCCTGCAGTGTTGGGTTACACTCGACTAACAACTCACTATATTCAAGCATATATTACATCACCTATGATAGCATCATCTTTCTTTGATTTGCTAGCAAGCCAAGGACCTTTGTGCAAATTAACCTTTGTCGACTTGGTGTAGATATATAACCGTTGGTGTGCCAACTCATATGTACACTTATTGTTTTACCACTACGTATCTTCCGCCAGGTAAATGATGCAATAACTATATTGATGATGTACTCATGCTAGCATTTGGACGCATTAGAGAGATTCATTGATAAAATTTTCTGTTATCACTGAGCCATGCCAAACCTATCCTCAAACTCTTATAGTCATACTATAGCTGAAGGAGTTCAACTCTTCCATCTTGTAGTATTTCGTTACCTCAACTCTTCCATCTTGTAGTATTCGGTTACCTAAGACACACAACTCACTACACTCAAGTCTAGTCTATGATGGCAAACGAGGCCCTTCACTCGAAACAGTAGCATGTTTTTCTTTTGGTTATTCGCAAACTAATGCATAGGAGGCAATCTCAACTTGTTCATTTAGATAGCTAGTTAGGTTAGTCATTTGAGCCATTGCATTCTCCACATCATCACCACACAAGGTGGTGGTACTCCATACTCGATTAGTAACAGGTGAGAGGGATGATTAGAGAAGGGAGGTGTCACGCCCAGAAATTTAGCCCAAATTTCCAGACTATTTTGTGTATTAAATCCCTGTCCAGGACCAGCCAGGGTACACAAAACGACAAGTAATATACAGTTCCAAACGTAAATAAAAGCGTAAATACTTACAGAAGAGGCACTTAGTCCTCACACCGAAACGAAAGCAGCAGCAGCAGAAAAAGGCGATCCTAGCGGGGCTTCAGCTCCACTCCACAGGCAAAACTCAACTGGGTCTGAGCCTTGGTCTTCTAACTTCGTCTTCAGCTCAGAAGCACTACACTTCTGAAAAGGGGGAATAATAGCAAGGCTGAGTATAACCACCGTACTCAGCAAGCCACACCAATGATGCAGACGTGCAAGGGGATACAAGGATGGCTTGTGGCTATTTGCATAAAGGCAGTTGTAAAACATTTTATTGAGCAAAACAGTAAAACTGTAGAGTCATTAAGGTAATATTAAATCTCCACTGATCAACACTACACCACGTTGAACAGGCCCAACTAACCCACCTGAACTACAGTGCATTGGGTCGATTTATGAAGTGTGAGACTAATCACGGTGAATCTGGTCGACCGCCCATAACCGCGGACACGGCTATTCGAATAGTTTTACTCTGATCAGAGGTGTACAACTGTACCCACAAGACACAGCCCCATGACACGTTTCCGTGCGCCGACATGCCACCATGACATACCGGAAAGAGGCCGTGACAGGACCCTTCGCATAACCCCCTCTAGCCAAGCACACCACACCTCAGGTTTCACCCCCGTCCCCAGTGGGCAACGGGCAGTCCCCTCTCGTGCCTAGGTGAATCCGGAAGCGACAGAGGCCGTCGCAGGGCCCACCCCGCTCCATCACGCCCACCCTTGCCTGAATGCATCAGCTAGAGGAAAGCTACACTACAAGCTCAGCCGTTGCCCACGCTAGCTTGTGGTAAGTACGAGGAATTCTTCCAGGGTTTCCCGCGAACCGGTCCTTAATTGCCATGGGTGCAACTAGCAAAACCATGCACCCACAGCTCACCATTCAGTCGCATTTTAGTTGGATAATTACGGACACGAACACATGGCTGGATGTCTTGAGCACGCAGCTCGTTCTGATGCTAAAAAGGTCTAATACTGTAATTATCCCATCAACTGAGCTAGTGGTAGTTAAGCATGGCTAAGCATATAGTTCTAGCTAGGTCACATAAGTAACATGAGCTAGTCGATTTATTACCCAAGATTGACAAAGAACAGATATCAAGTAAACATGGCACAAGCGAGCAGATAGGTAATACCCAGATCCCATGTAATTAGCAAGACATGCATGTTTATTTGCAAACGGTAAAACATTTTTAATTTGGGATCAACATGCTCAAGGGGAATGTGTGACTTGCCTTGCTTCTTCACTTTGATCTTCCGAACTCTTTTCCTCGCGACCGCGGACTTCCGAAACGACAGAAACTACACGCTGGCACGCAAAACGAGGAAAAATACTAATAAAAACCAAGTAAACAGTATATAAAAAGTAAACAAACATGTAGATCTCAATTTTAGATGAATTTTGCAAGTTGAACGGCTCAATTCGGAGTTCGTATGAATTAGATATGAATTTTAGAAGTTCTGAGCCATTTAAATGATTTGCTAGAATTAATACTAATTTATAACGCAATTATTAATTGTTTTCTCGAGGGAAAAGGCACTGCTGACATCATCAAAGGGGAAGGGTGCGCCGACAGACGGGCCCCACACGTCAGCGGGACTAGGGTAGGGCGCACGGTGGACACGGTCCACCGCGGCCGGGGCAGCACCGTGGACCGAGACCACGGGTGGTCCACGGGCGGCCACAGGGCAGGGCGCCTAGAGCACGGGCACGGCTCAGAGCTGGCCTAGCTGAGACACGACGCGCAGCGGCGAGCGGCGGCGCGAGAGGGCGCGCGAAGGGCGGCGGAAAAGAGAGGAGGAAGGGGGATGCTCACTAAGCGGCACGGCACCGGACGGAGGCGAGATAGCGGCGGTGCTCCCCGGGGCGAGGACGACGGCGACGGTCCAACGGCGGCCAACGGGCGACGAGTGACGGCCGGGGACCTCCGGGACCTGGGAAGGGGATAGAGAGTTTAAGTGGCACGGGGAAGGCGCGGTGCCGAGGAAAACAGCGGCCGGAGGCGGCGAGGAACGGTGAAGCTTTCGGCGGTGGCGGCACAGCGTGGCAGCAACGGGAGTGGCGGTGGCGCGCGACTGAAGGCGACAAGAGGCGGCTGTGGCTCGGGTGCACGGTGAAACCGGTGCCCGGGTGGTTTATTGCGGAAGCGGAGCGGTGGACGGGGTGCGGCAACGCGCGGCGAGGCCAGCGGGACCAACGGCGGTGTGCGGCAGTGGCTTTAGCGACGGTGGCGGGCGGCTGGAGGCGGTAGAGGCGGCGGCGGCTCGGGTTGGCGGCGGGAGTGGTGCTCGAGGGGTGGAAAGGGGGACATAAGAGGCGGCCGGGCTTGCCCTTGCGGCGGCGAAGCTGGCGGTGGCGGCGGCTCGGCTCGGCGACGGCTGTGGCGGCGGGAA